AGCTGACCGATATAATGCATGGCGCAAACCGCGCCACCGGCGAGAACACCACCCAATGTAATGCGAATAAAACTAGTTTCCTCGCTGGCACCGATCGAGTAGAACGCAATGAGTAGGACAACAACCGGAAGAACGAAAGAGACACCGGTAAAGGTCATGCTGTAGACGATCTGAATGCGGGCGCTCCCGTCTCCGAGAACAATAGCGCGATTCCCAATGAAGTGCATACACCAGATGCCAATGCCTCCCATAACGAGTGAGGAGGTAAGAAGGAGATACCTAGCTGGGTGGTCAGAGGTGTTTAACAGTCCATGGAGGAGCCTGACGTCAGACTATTCACTTACCAATTGTACAGACCAGCCCTGGAAGTCCGCCGGTGAAGCAGCTCCAGGGTAGTCGTACAGCCCATCATGCTCACGACATATGAAAGAAAGATATAGCCCCCGAGGTATGACACAGGGATCGACTCCTGGAGAGTCCTGTCTATGAGCCACATATTCTCAGCAAGGGGCTCTAGCGAGAGCAAAGGTCGCCAGGAAGGTCAAGAACCACGAGAGAAAGATAAGAGGTTGGGTTACTGCATCGAGGACGTCAAGACCTGAAATCTTACAAGCGAACGGCAATCCGGTGGCGCATTGGGAAAGGATTGAAGAAAGAGTGAGGAATAAGCCCGGGATGGGGAAAGCCAGACTGCTCTCACCACAAGGGAGATCTTTTGGTAATATAATCAGAAGGATCGAACTGATATCTTTACCGCGCACTCGATTCGCGGGTCTGGCCGGACTCCTCCAAAAGCCAGGATCTTGGGGCATGCTGCAATTAAAGGCAAATAATATATTAGAATTCAGCCAGGGCTAGACGAGGGCATGGCGAGTGGACAAGGGCTAGCGACAGCGGAGCGCCATGGATTCATTTCCCCTCTTCTACGAGTCTTGATTATGGACGTTCAATTTGCGTCTGCGGAGCAGTACGAGGGGCAGGTCAGGTCCCGCTTTCTGGTGGCCATTCAAGACAAGCAAGAACATGTTGGCTGGTGAGGAGAGCACGATTAGAGGCCATCAGGAATGTTTTTCAGAGCCAAGACTGGGTCCGATTGCAGCAGTAAATCGGTTCCGGAAATCCTGTGATCAGTGATCAGGAACGATGGAGAGTGGGCACTGACGCTGGCGAGTCACGATCCAGCCCTGTCAAACAACCACGGCCTGTGTTACATATTTGTAAACCCAGTCAGCCACAGCAGCTGAACGTTAATTAACAAAACTGGGTCCAGGTGCTGGCCGCTGGCGTATCAGGAAGAACGATCTGGCCAATTTTCGGAGATATGGGCTAGAGACCTTAGGTCGGCGCCGCCGCTCAGTGAATAGATTGCGCTCTCGCTCTTCTCCGAGGGACATTTTGCTCTTTTACCCACATGACCGGGAGCAGATAGGAAAGCAAGGTGGACGCGAGTCAAGTGCAGCCAGCATCTTGGTTCTTAATTCACAAGCTGGTTTGTAGCTTCCTGGCTAATTTGCAGGAGGGGAGTTAGACGCGAAGGATGTCAGCAATAAACCAAGGCCAGGGTTGTCGTCAGCCAGGCCTGATAGCTGGAGGCTAGTGAGATCCGTCTCGGAAAGGTGGGAGACAGCACGTTCCAAGGATCACAACCGGAGAAATTGACCAAACGGATTGGGACATATCTCCATTGCTATCCATGACGCCGGCGAGGATTAGTTAGGCTAAGAGGCCGGAGAAATTGGGTGAGATGACAAGCGAGACCAGACCTCGGGGAATTCACCACATGGGAGACGGTCAAGGACCCTGGTGTTGATTAGTGCGTCGTGAGCGCATCCGCAGGAACTGACACCGAGGTAAATCCACTCCGGAGCGTGGGAGTCTGGGAGATCATGTGCGTGCTGGCAGTGCCGGCACAGGTGAGACAAATTCCACTGAACTTGATGAAGCAAAAAATTGTGAAGTGGAGCAGAGCAAAAGATTAGAACCGAAGTGGGTTTAGCGGCCAGCGCCTTCGATCGCGGACGGATCCTGATGTTAGTCCCGATCTGGCTAGCGGGTGAACCCGCCGCCGACTGAGATTGAGTCTGGGACTCTTTGCTGTTTAAGCGATGCACTCATTCACTTTGAAGGCAGCCAGCAGCCAGCATAAGCGATAAGAGTCAAGCTTTGCTGTCACCTTCGCTTCCCTGCACTGACTCGCGCTATGTGACTCTGAAACGTGCTCGTTTACGCACATTGATACCGAACGCCAGCTTATCACGCAAGGTTTTTCTTTTAGTGCCACACACTGGGCCGGCTCTAGATCCGGTGAATCTCACCGTGGGCGGTACCAACAACCAAGGTAACTGAACTGCATGGTTGTGTTCGCGCCCTGCCAGCATTTTGGTCTGGCTTCTCTGAGACTCTGCGTTCCTTCTTGGGGTGTCCTCCGGTGGTTTCCAGCACTTTTGGGCCTAGCATCCGATCCGCTGCCTTGCTTTTCCTGGGCTTTCCATCCAAACAAAAGAGGTATTTAGACGAATGCAAACTCTCTTTTTGCCCCTAGTGGCTTGGTTCTAAACGCAACGACCACAATGTGACCGGAACCACGATCCCCCTTCCAAATCTGCGGTGGCGGAATCGTGGGAAATTCCGGCAAAACGTGTGTCACAATGTGGATTGTCGGCTCCTCCAATCCCAGGGTTGATTCCGTGGCCGGCCCATGATCGATCAAGGTGATAATGACGCCCGGAGATTGATAAAAAGTACTCGTACCTCGTGGCAGACTGGAAGAGGCTTAGCGTGTCAAGTCAGGCACTGGACGCCACCCAAAGTTACCTGGAGTCTGAAGTTTTGGAAGAAGGGACCTCAATATTGAAGGCGTAAACAAGAGATAGACTTTGGCTTGGTGGAAGTATGAATCTGAGTTTGTAGGAATAGAAATCATCGACTCGTGGGTGCAGCTGTGGAAGCTGTACAATGCTATTGATCACGATTGAGTTCCGCATGAACTATTCGACCTCGACTCGGGGAGCACACTTCGCAATGCCTTATTTAACTCGTAGACATGTTCGGCAGTCGAGGTTCGGGATTGATATCTGCACGGGAGAAGGTGCCTTCGAGGCGCATGGTCTGAGGGATCATGACTCGGTGCGTTGACCTGCTCAGTAGTTCAGTCCTGTGCTGTGACAGGGTCGTCCCCGGCTTCACAGCTTATGATCCGCCATCAACTAACCAATTCCGATTCACATATGAAGTATGACAACGTCTCAAATTCGAGCATTCCTCAAACCATGACAAATAGACACGAACAGTGACCAGCTGTTTGCGGCGGGGTGGCTTGGCTACGGATCAACAAGCAGTGCCTCGAAATTGAAGTCAAATTCTAGTCTTTCTTCACCGAGTCGCAACCTTCCCCCGTGAGTAAACAAATAAACAAACAACCACCATCTTACCCTCTCCGCCAACATAAAAATGAACAACAGAGCACAAACAGCTGAACCCTCCCCACAAACACGGAAATGCGAACTGAACCTGAAACCACCGCGCACCCACCGGGGCCCCATCTCCATTTCTTCCTGTTGTTCAATTGAATCAATTCCACATACCTCTTCCTCGCGAGCCGCGACCCACCACCACCACCACTGAGTAGTTCGGCAGATCGGATCATACCATACACCACTGCATACTGCATACACCAGGCCCCGCCCCGCAAGAGCTTCACACCGGAATCGTAAGTCGGTTTCAGAATCCCCGGGATCGATATTCTCCAGGAAAGCAAAGAATCTTCTGCGGCTCACTGCTCTGCCTCCAAGCGAGTTTAACAATCGGCTGATTTCCCCGCTTTTCTTTCTCTAGATCGGCAATCCTCATCCTCCTCGTCACCATCATTGACACAACAACTCAGCTCGAACGACCCGACCGACTCGAGTATGAGGATATGGACCCGTACCCTCCTTTCTGAGAGTAGCCGAGGAGGATCGCCGTAGACTTTTCCGACCTCCGACCACCGAACTTACAGATTCGAACAGAGCTACAACGCGGTTTGCTGCGCATATATACACTTCACCCACCCACCCACCCATCCATCACACACACATATACATACACACATACACAGATACTTCCAGCACAAAAGCACCAAGCAACACCCCCTCAACCCCCAAACCTCAGAAGCCACAATCCCAATCCCCCATCAGGCTACCCAGCCAACCCGTGTAAGAGAAACACACAGCAGTGGGACCCCATCCTCTATCATCATCCATCGAAACCCACCCCTGCAACCAAAAACCCAACCACCCCTGCCCCCCCTTCGGAAGAACCGGATATCATCCCCGGTGCCAGGTGGGGTACCGGTACTTCTATGTCCACGCAGGTAGTCGAACATCTATATATTAACACGTCCTCGTACGTCCATTTTCTCCACAAGGCGGCTGGCACCGACGGTGAAAATTCTACGAAGGGCCTGAGTGGGGATCCAGATTGATTAAGTCAATTGGTAGTCGGGTATCTGATTGGGATAATAAATACACTATTGGGGATTGTAAGACACAGCGCTGAGGTCGATTGGGATTGTAGGACTGGGGCTGTTTGATTCTATGGTCATGGGAGGGTTGTCAAGTGTACGGTAAAAATTTTGTGAAAAACCTATTCTACTTCGAGGCGGACTCAAATATACAAGCAATAGGATCGACCCTGATGGATCTACGTTAAATATGCATCTGCAGAAGGAGCTTGATGCTGGACACCAGCAAATGAAACGAAGCAAATACAAGTATGGCCCGATCCCTTGTCAACTCATCATGCGACCTGATTTGTTCTTTGAGTGTTTAATAGGTGCATATACATGTATGCAGCATGCATGCAGGGATATGTGCATGCAAACCGATCCGCCTTCTAGAATATTCGTCCCAGCTATCGACCTAGCTGATTTACTGGATATCTAGATCTCCCCATACGCACTGCGACGCCCATCAAGATTCTATGCCGTGCCCAGCGACCTCTATATACCCTCCTATCTCTTACAATCCCACCAACTCCCTCGAAAACACACTCCGCCGCCGAACCCACCACCCATATCCTTAAAACACAAACGGGATCGGAGTTAGCGCCACCTCCACCTGTCCCAGCAGCGTGCCCGTCCACGCGATCCCCATACTCTCATACAGCCGGTGGCCCGCCAACGGAAGCGCACCCGCAAAGACGTACCGAACCATCGCGTTGTCCGCCACCGCCGAGGCGGCGTAGATGGGGTAGCTCCCCGCCAGGTAATGGGCCGAGTAGATGAAGATAAGGGTGTTGACCATGCCGAAGGAAACACCGGCCAGGATTGGATAGATCCAGTGCGTGTACGTGGGCGCACTACTGGATTGGGCTGTGGTCGTTGTTGCTACCGCTGTCCACGAGAACCAGAATTCACCCAGTGGGCTGAGAATGGCCCCGAGGGCATACGGCACAGATGGAGGCCTCGGGGGCGATCTGACCCGTGCAGGGGTCCCGCGGATGACTGGCGATGATGCGGCGGATGAAGATGGGCTCACTGAGAACAGCGAGGACGACACCGGTGCGATACCACAGTAGCCTAGTCCTGCGATGCCGGGTAGCCAGCCGCGATGCTCTTGGAAGGCAATCGGGTAGCTGACGAAGCACAGAAATAGAATAGCATATATGACACCGACGTAGAGGTTCCAGAATAAGCTGGCAAGGCTGGAGATAGTAAAGGGTCAGTGAAACTTACTCTGGAGACGCTCACGCATCGGCAGAGCTGGGAGGTCAGAGGCGTAACAGATGGGCTCACATACAGCCATGATAATAGGTCTAACCAGATGGCCTCGCACAAGATCCTAGCCCACTCTGCGGCTATCATAGCGACACCACCACCGCAAGTCCCCAGTCTGTTCCTGTTGCGTTCGGGCCCTTGCCCGCAGTATCGCCAGCTCATATGTCTCCTTGGACAAGAACAAAGCCACAGCTAATACGCTTGCCCGGCAGAGTATGACCCAGTTGATCCAGCGCCAGCCGAGATACTGGTAGACAAATCCGCCGAAAATGGGACCTGCACTTCCGTTAATTCTGTGGAAGGAACTCAGAAGCTGTCCCCAGCACTTCACTTGGTACCAATTGCCGGACCGTTCATCGCCCCAAGACTCCAAAGACTGAACGCCAGCGCCCGGTACCTTCTGCTGGTCACGTCGTTGATTGTCCCCGGACCGCCCGCAATAGTCGCACTACCGAAAACCCCTCCGAGTGCTCTGCAGACAAGAATAGTGTGTATATCCCGAGCCAGGGCCAGAGGTATCACCGAGCAGGCGAAAGCGAGGGTGGTGATCAAGTACACCGGCCGACGACCGTACAGCTCCGATAACGAGGCAAACACGAGACATTCGAATGCCAGACTGAGCATATAGGTAGTCAAGCCGAGCAACACAACGGTGTCCGACGAGATGTCAAATGATTCCTTGATCCCTGGGATACCTGGAGTATAGGATGTGGAATATGATATCCTCGGGGACAATCAGCATTGCCATCGAGTCACTATTTGACATGTCTTCAGGCAAATTACGCGCAGGCACTTGACACGGATACCGCTCCGACAATGAAGCTCCTGTATGCAGCCGACTAATTGCGCGGGTTCTCGGGATCATCTGTTTCCCAATAGACCTCAAACCCGGCATCATCGTCAGAATGGCTTGTGTTTGTTGGCTCAAGCCCACCCGATATTGGTCTGCTAGGCCTCGCACAGGTCATCGGTCCATTTTCAACACTGGACATAGTCGGCGATTGGGGTTTCCAAGCAGATAGATGTCGCATTGTATGGCCACGGAAGGGTTCAGTGCACAATCGGACCAGTTTGGATAATGGCCGTCCTATTGCAGCCCATAGACCTTTCCATCGCACGCTAATCTCAAGAGGAGCGAGTAAGAGAATGACAGAGTCCCCTGGAATACTTTGAACAGGAGCAGCATTTTGCAACAGATTGGATGCGGGTCGTTGTCGATGCATTACGCGTGCGAAAACTTGGCCCGACCTTGGCGATATTACACTTTGTTCGACGATGTCATCAACTCTGTCGAGGCCTTGGAATGGAAAGAATTGCGATTGACATCAGGCCTGTAAAGGCGACAGTTAGAAACGAACAGCCTAGAAGCCCTTAGGATCGCCCGAATGCATGATGCAGATGTATGTAGGTGGAGAAAGATTGGGCAGGTCTGGCACCTGCAGCCGACTGGAGGCGAATCACTATTCCTAACTCGGGTTTACGTCTCGACCTCCAGGTTACATTACATGGTGATGCAAGGAAGGTCCGTTCGCTTTTTGGATCCAGTTTTCTTTCGTGTTGTAGCTGTTTTACATCTTCTCTTCCGATGATACTCAATAATGAAACTAAGTAGCTATACCTTAACGAATCGACTGTCTACTCTTCGCAAGTCATGCAGCGCGAACTACCAAGGACGGTACGAGGACCAAACATCGAACCAGACATCTGTGGAGATTGATTCTCAATTACTCCGACTACAATGGTAAGATCAATCTGAGGTAGTCGGGAGGCACGTAGTATTCAGCGCGAAGGCAAGGATAACATCTAAAGTCCGTCCTTATCGCCGGCCATGGAAAATACCCAGCCTCATCCATTACACCCATAGCAGCCCACAGTTAGGGAAGTATAAATTGTTCAAACGTTTGTCATTTCATACACTAGAAAATAAAACCATCCTTCACCACACATTCGAACGAATTTATGCGAGGAGAGCCTTGATACCGGCCTCAAGAGCGGGGGGGTTGGCACCGACGACGTCGTTGACCTTCTCGCCGCCCTTGAACAGCATGAAGGTGGGCATGGCGCGGACACCGAGCTCGGCAGCGACCTCGGAAAGCTCGTCGACGTCGATCAAGTAGAACTTGGCCTGGGGGTATTGTTCGCTGAACTGGGCGACCTTGGGGGCGATGGCCTTGCAAGGACCGCACCACGTGGCGTAGCAGTCGAGGACAATGGCGTCCTGGGAGTTGGTGACCTTCTCTCTGAACTCCTGAGTGCTATGCGAATGTTAGTATCACTGATGCGCAGCCGATCATCGCAGACGGCAGTTTCCGAGTCAAGTGAGGGCGGAAGGGGGGAACTCACGAGGTGATCTGGTGAACCTTGCCGTGGTCAGACATGTTGGATTGTGTGGGGTTGAATTTGACGGAGTGAGATTGAGAGAAAGAGCGGCGGCTTAAAGGATTCGCGGCGGGAAAGCGCTGGACGAAGTTGGAACGCAGGAAAGTGGAGGATGGAGTAGTAGAAAATCTAGCGGAGGAGAGAGAAGACAGGCGAGCGGATGGTTTAAGACTGGAGAAAGGTTAGGAAGAGAATTGAGATTAGCTCGGAATGGTTGAAGAGGGGCTGAGGCCGAAAAGGAGGGGCTCAGTCCGCAGTTTTTATGGGTGGGCGCAAATGACGTTGCACCGTGGGAGGATGGGAGGGACTGGCTGCTGCCTCTGACTAATCGCCGCGGTCGAAGCCTCTCGGAGGCGGTGGAAGAAGGGATTGGGATTTGAAAGGGGGAACTTGAGATGATTCACAGGTAGGTGGGAGGTAGCTTACCAAGAGGTCACGCCGCGGGAGAGGCGCAGCAGGTTGGAGGCATTTGTCAGGGTGGCAGTCGACATCTTGCAGAATACTAATCGATTTCGAATATAACAGTATTGTATGAAGAGTATGAATAGTATAGAATGGGTGGTGGAAGCAATTGGTTCGCCGTTCGGGAAGCACAAGGATTGGGCTGGAAGACAGTTTCAAAAGCCGGTGCATTATTACTATTCGGATGACGTGCTCCGTCGCTTATGAATAGCGAACGGTCTGGACAGAAGGTGCCGGGCGTGTGCCTGAATCATGCCTTAGGCGTGCTGCCTAACTACTGCACCCATCCTCGCCGCCTCAACAAACAGCAATCGACCTCCATCTTAGTCTGACGGGCATACTCTGTACCACTACTCCGTACACCCATAGAACATACCATTCCACACAAATCTACTTGGTCGTGGTCAAAGGAAGTGTGTATCTCAAACGGACATCAAACAATAGGCATTATTGGAAATGGGAAGAGATATCATTGTGGGGTGACTGACACCAAACAAGGACAGAAACTATTCTAGGTATACGCCAATATGTGCATTGAACTGAAACGGGAGAGTGCTTCACCTCTAATGAAGACATAACTCTGCACGAAAATCAAATAATAGCATTTGATCAGCGATCGAGGCAAACTCCTTCAAACTCTCGCTGATGTGGGGTATCAACAAATGCAAGAACAAAACCTGCCAGCAAGTCGGGGACGAAGACCGGGCTTGACGGGGCAGCGAAGGAAGAAAAACGCGCGTGGCCACTTCAAGCGCCACCAGAACTAGATGCAAATTCCATCAATATGTGAGGAGGGAATCGCAGAAGAGAAGTCAAGGGAGCGACAAAGGAAAGAAGAACCAAAGGAGTGACTAGGGCCAGCAGGGGAGAAGGGAATCATTACATGAAATTAAATAAATAGAGACTGGAGCGACGCGAATTAGGTGCTTCTTTGTCTCATGAGAGGGGGAAAGGCCGTCAAAATGTGACCCATTGGTCAAAGGGGTCGGGTGAACGCATGTCGCTCGTACGCAATACAAATCACACGCTCAGAGGGCGCGCCCTCTATCCTATTCCTCGTTTGTGTCGAACTCAAATTCAGCGGAGTGTTCTTCGATGGGGCTGAACTCCTCATCGGCAGATAGAATGGTTTTGAGCAGGCCCTCGTTTGACTTAGGACGGACTGCCGGATTCACCAGCACAGGACGCCTCGCAACTTGAGCATGCCATGTTTCCTCTGCTGGGTCTTGTGTATGGTCAACGGTCATGGTACTATCTCGCTGAGAACCTGCACCATGTCCGACCCGCGAAGGCTCATCCTGCTCAGCTCCAAATCTCACAAAGGGTTCATTGAGTGATACTTCGTCACCTTTGAGGGAGTCCTCGTGGTCTTCCTCCTCAAGCTTGTTCCTTGATGAACTGAGACTAGTCCGAAGGGGGTTACTAGTTTTCTTCTGAGAAATGCGACGAAGGAATTGCCCTGACATCCACGACCCCTCGGAATCGATCGACGCTAGTGACTGAGATAGTGGAACGTTATCCGGGTTACCATCCCAGCTTTCGCCTCCCCACGAGTCGTGATGGTTGTTGCGAGAATCCGGGACATCGGAGGCAGAGCTTGGAATAGGGTATTGAGTAACCATGTTAACATCAGAGGTGTCATCGTCCCTCTCAAACTCATCAGCCACTTCTGGTATATCAGGAGACTGGAGACGTGAGTCAGGTGGTGATAGAGGTTCGTCACCGAAATGTTCCGTGAATTTCGATTGGGAGCGCTTGATCGTGCCCGTGCCAAGAAAAGCCTTGGGCGGCACGTACGGCGCCGGACCGGACGAGGACTGTGTCTGAACTTTGAAAAAGGATTCATGCGACGGGTTCGACGGCTCAGGGCTCCGTTCATGGAAACGTTCTCGGTAGCTTCTCTTGAGGCGTGAGCTCCCACGGCGAAAGATCGAGGTCAAAGTGTTCACACGACCACTGCTATTGTCCGACAGACGCCTGTCAGAGTCGATTGTCCTTGAGATATCCGATGTTGATTCTCGACCGAGACCATACAGATGCGAAGAAGTTGGACTGTAGACCCGGCGCCTCGATGGTGAATGAGAGGGAGTCAGGCTGCTGCGAGACATTCCCATCTCTGTGGACGGAGCGAAGCTACGCCGCGGGACAACCTTGCGTCCACTGATAGAGCTATCGTCAATATTGCCAATGACAATAGCACTCTCGGGAGTTTCGCAGCCTTGTCGCTCAGAATCTTTGGAAACTCCTCTCAGCCATGACCCTGACGGGGGGGTACCACCCAGGGAAGTCTTGGTGTCTCCAGATCTAGTGACACCCTCGTCAAAAGAAACCGGCGTAGCCCGACTACCAGCACCAGGCCGGCCTCTTTGGGTCGTAGATGCCTCTTCGACTTCAGGTTGATGCTTCGGTGTGGAGAGATCGGCAGCCTGGTCCAACGGGTGCTGCTGTTGCTGGTCAGCGGCTTGTTGCAACTTGCGTTGCAATTTCTCCTGATCCTCGGCCTGCTTCCTCTCCCTGCGCCGGCGATCTCTTTCCAACAACTCCCGTAGAGCACCAGCGTCCAGAGCATCAGCCAGGTCATTTACCTTCTTATTCGAATGAGCATTTTCGTCAGATGCAGCAAATGGTGGCACCTTGTCTTTCTTGCTCACTGTCTCAGGTGACTTCTGGCTTTTCGCAGTGGAAGGCTTGGGAGCTTCCACATAACGAATGATTGGGCGGGGTGTCCAAGCTGCGAAAGTGTTGACCTTGAACGTGTAGGACTCAAATATGTCGGATAACGACGACTCAGCTGAGTCACGGACGGACAAACTGACGTCAGACAAGTGGCGGTCCGAACGACGACTTGGAGCCCTGAGGGCTTTGCGTGTTTCAATAGAGAAGTGCTCACTAGGGAGCGGGGATGGGCGACGAGGAATGTCAATCGGCGCGGAAGCCATCAATCTGATCTCCCGTTCCCTGGCAATCTCGTATGCCTTGCGCTTGCTAAGTTTCTTCTTCAGGACTGCTGGTCCGCTAACGCTTCTTTTCGACTTTAGGAGCGATCCAGATCGAGTTAAGGTAGGCTGGTCATAGCTTGTGTTGGAGTGAGAGGTGTAGCCATCGGACTGCTGTTGACCAAGCCGGGAGGACAGTTGCCGGGTTCCTCTTATAGAAGCCGGTTGCTCGCTGTGGGACATAGGCGGAGGATACTGGATAGACTGAGAAGCTGGAGGGACACCGTGCAGAGAGCTCGGAAAATCTTCAGTGGGCGTAATGTGTCGGTTCTTCTGACGTTTCGAGGATTTGCGAGAGGGCTTGCTGCCTAGCTTGCTGCCATCGAAGCTGTGGCGAGGGTCCTGCGGCGGAACCTCCGCCACCGCAGGAGCATCGAGCTGGATCGTGTGCCGCTTGCTCTTCCGACCAAATGGCCATATCGCCATGGCGTCTGATGGACTGAAACTTCGTCCCGCTCACGAGTCAAGGTGGACAGTGAAGTAATCGGAGGCGAAGTTGTAGCGGATGACTGGACTCATGAGGAATGACGGAATGAACTAGACACGCGACCACGGAGCGGAGTCTGAAGCCGAAGCCTTACGCAAAAATAGGAGAGCTCCGAAAAAAAACGCAGGTGACGGAATATTTGGCGGATGGGGGAAGAAGGGGGATAGGATTATTTAGAAAGAGGAAAAGAGGAAATCAAGAGGAATAGTCGAAATTTCACGATTGGGATTGACAGGTAGCGGAGGCGAACCGAGACATTCAGAGCGACGGGGGAAAGTGCCGGGAGCACAAGGCCGTTCTAGCGGATGTACCTAAAGAAGGATGCCCCAGGCGGTGGATTTGATAGTTTGATACAGGTAAAGCGGTACGAAGTCGAGACCCGGGGGGGTGAGGGGGCTTTAGAGGGGAGGGGTGGTGGAGCGAGAGGGGGGTGAAAGGGATGTGACTATTGGTTTAGAACGAGCGGGTAGATCGGAGGCCTGAAAGGTAGGTATGATGAGTGAGGATTGAGGAAATGATGGCAGTCACGGTTTCGTAGCAATAGTGTAAGTATGGAAGTCGCAGGACTATCGCAGGACTTTTGACGTAGTAAAGAATAGTTAACTTTGGTAGTGAGACCCGGGGGAGCCACGCCACATGGAGTGGCGGAGAATGACCTCCGTAATCACCGAAAGTCAGAGAGGAAAGATGCCAAAGGGATCTGGAAGGAGGACTGCGATCCTAAAAGAGAGCGAGGGAAAGAAATCCAGTCCAAAAAAAGGGCGAGGAGATCGGAAAGAAAGGAGAGAAGGAGAAGAAGAAGAGGGGAGAAGAAAGAAGGAGGAAGGGGGGGATATGAAGAAGAAAAAAAAGAAGCAGCAGCAGCAGCAGCAGCAGCAGCAGCAACAGCAGTAGCCGTAGCTTTGAGCCCGACTGGGGAAGAGAATAGACAGAGACAGAGAGACAACAGCCCAAAAAGGACGATGGTCGATGAGAGTCGGCGAGGGACTGTGAGGGCCGAGACAAACAAGCCGCCCGTTTCTGAACCAGGGGAAAACTACGGAGTACTCGGTTGGTTACACACTTTTCTCGCCCTCTGGGGCCGTCGCCGGCCGTCACAACAGCTGTATGGAGTACTTCCCTAGTACTCAGTAAGTTACTGCTGGTTCATGATACTACCCGGTGGTAGATTATGGAGTCGCATGGTATTGAGGTACAGGTATTAATGGACTCTGCCCTCTCCTCC